TTCGCACGCCACCCACACACACACACGCACCCACACACGCACGCCACCCACACACACACACGCACCCACACACGCACGCCACCCACACACGCACGCCACCCACCTGCATGAGCGAATCCACGAGCAGCTCCCCACTGACCCTCACGGTAAAGGTGTTGTCCTCCTCATCCGCCACATACTGGGCGGGGTTGTCCAACCATTCGGTAGCCTGGCTGGCGGTCATCTGAAAAGGGGGTCACGGGTCGCGGAAGGGCGATGTATGTATGTATGTATGTATTCATGTATGTATGTATATATGTATGTATGTATGTATGTATGTGGGGGGTGGGAAATGGGAATCACTTGATGTGAGAAGCAGCCGGTCATCTGCTGATACGCCCCGAGCACCAGCTGGCGGGTGGAAGGGAGGGTCATGAAAGGGGTGAAGGGGAAGGGGAAGGGGAAGGGGAAGGGGAAGGAAGGATGACGGAGCGGTTGAAGGGGAAGGCAACGGCACGGGGGAAGTCCAGTTTGGGGGAGAGGGGAACTCCTGGCTTTCCTCCTGGGGAAGCCATGAATTGCCCTGGACGAAGAACACATACACATACATACACACATACACCCCAAAAGGCACACGGGAAATGCATGCTTACACAATGCTGGTGACTACCGAGCTCGCATCGGTACAGTTGCTCGTGCACCCGCTTCGGTTCGTTCTCGGCAGCATGGGGAGGCTCAGATTAATCACACAGGATACACTTTTTCCCACACAACTTTCGATCCGCAAGGCGGGTTTGCGCCGAGTGATGATACCTCAATCATCCCCCCCAATCTTACTCCCCTCCCCACTAACGTGAAACCCGCACGAATACCTGCATGTACGACACCACCAGGTACGACATCTCGGGAAGCGCCGGACGGATGAGCTTGGCGTACTGGGGCAACCCGACTATTACCATCAGCAGCTCGAACAGCTGGACGTGTGGGGAGCAGGGGTGCGCATGTGGATGGCGATATGGCGGCGGTGGGGAGGGAAGGGGAAGCATTGCCAATTTCAAGAACTTAAAAGAGGTTGGAAGCGGTGCGTTACTCCTTGCCACTAACCAAAGTGGCAGCGAGGCACTGCGGCTCTATTGGGAAAGCTCCACAGGCTAAAAAGTAGCGCACACGGGCGTGTGTGTGTGTGTGTGTGTAGCGGAACAAAAGAATCTTCCTCTTTCCCCTCTCCTCCGAAACCACCACCACGGCGGATTCAAGATACGAATTCTCCACGAAATCCCCCTGTCACGCAAAACCACCACCACCACCACCGCCGCGCGCGTCCCTGGCAATCCTTCCTTCCTTCCCTCCTTTCCTTCGTAGGAGCCCCGGCCCCCTTCCCTCCGCGGCCCTTGCCTCCGAAACCACCATCACCATGATAAATCCACCCTCTGCCCCCTGCCACCCTGTAATGCCGCGGACCCGCCGCCCTGTTCCCCACCTGCGCCAGCAGCGACTCCAGGTCTAGGGAGTTTCCCTCGGAGTCCACCTCCGCGGGAAGCCCCTCCGCCGCCGCCTCTCCAGCTCGCCCGCCCTCAGATGGCTCCAGAACCAGGTGCATCTGCGTCAAGGTGCATAAAAGTACATACAATTATATATATTTTATGCACGTGCGCGCATGTGTGCACGTATATACATACATACATACATACATACATACGGTGCGCAATTTGTGTACATCAGGACAGACGCACAGCAGGCGGAAGGGGTAGGCGGGTGGGGCGGGGCGTTCTTCTGCAGGGAATGGGAGAACGGAAAATTGGAAAGCTGTACGAGATACGAAATTTTAAATGCTAAAGATGCGATTACGATTACGCCGGAAACGGGAAAGGACCGCCGTGGTTGAGAGCCGTGTTGCTCCAGCTTCACTTTGCCACTTCAAATATCTCCCTCTTTCAGTCCCTCTCCCTCCCTCTCGCCCGCCCTGCTCCACACTGTCCTCCATCTCCGAAAGAAAATATCGACCACCCCCAGACAGACCTCTCACCACCCCCATCCCCCCAGCAGCCACATCCCCACCCGCCTGTCAGGCCCTCTCGCTCCCTTCATCCCTGCCATCTTCATTCCTACTGGTACCCTACACCCTTACCTGGTACATCCCCACCGACCCCGTGAACATCCCCCAGCTGACTTGCATCACCAGCGCCATGTGCTGCTGCAACGGCTTACTGAAGTAGGAGATCAGCTGAGTGAGGGACTTGAGACACAGCATGCGGACGGCCCAGCCGGACGTGTCCTGTGAGGCGACAGGGAGGACAGGGGGGAAGGACGAACCACACACGTTTGAAGCTGCTGCCAGGGCAAGAGAGTAGGGGGGGCAGGGTTGGCAGAGGCAGGGCGGGTGGAGTTATTTACATACCAAGTCACGGAAGTAAGCGGCCAGCGAGAGACAGAGCGGGACAGCAGAAAGGAGTGGGATGGGTTGCGGTATCAGGGAGGGGGCGGGGGGCCGCGGGCGATGGGAATGGGGGGGAAATACACAGATACACAACTACAACGTTCGGCAACGCCCCAGAAAGAAAGTGCGAACCTCGGATACCGCATGCGGTGGCCGTGCAATTTGAACATGAAGACTGTCCACCACCACCAGCACCAGCACCACCACCCGCATTCGTGCTTGCCACACCCTCGCCATGCCACCTCATCCGTCTTAGGTTTCCCAGTGTTGCAGTGTACGGCAGTCCGTTGTGGCCCCCGATCGATGGCCCCCTACCACCCCACTAGGGTATATTCCCTCGAGGGGGGTTACTGGGGGCTCTCGCTGTGTAATACCTGTCACCACTACCTCATCCATGACCCTCCTCCTGCTCCACCCGGCACGTTTACCCCTTTCCCGCCCTCCACGTCGGCCATAGGTTTCCTTGACTTTGAATGTATTTCCCCTCTTCTCCCCCCCCCCAATCGCACACAGACACACGGGACGTTCTCCCAACCTTCTCCCCGTGACCCATCCCGTTTCTCAAGCTCCAGGGTTTTCCTCTCACCTGCACGTTCAGCGGCTGCGCCACCACCCCGCACAGCAGTGGGAGCCAGGGGCTCACCAGTGGCACCAGGAGGTCCCGAACCTTGGAGGAAACAGTCGAACACGAAATTATATACGCGATATGAATTCTGTTGTGCGTTAGGCGATTGTGCGTTAGGTGAGGATCAGGTTCCTGACGTGTGCGGGTGAGCACGGAGACAAAGGGTAAAATACGGCGCGCAAAAACAGGAAGCATGGAAAGCCGTAGCAGGCGCGCATCAGCTTTGTGGAAGTGCAGAGAAAGGGCGGAGAAAGGGGCGCTGAATACGCGTTTGTGGACAGACAAATAAAAGGACACTTTCATATTCTGTGCTCGGGGCTACCCGAAGGCGCCTACGATAACGACAGGATTGAAGCAACGGGCTGGGTGTGATGCAAGTGGGTGGTGGATGGGGTGTAGGCAAAAGGAGGAGACCAGGCCATCTCAAAGGTAAAAACCCGTTTTTGCGGAACCGCACCTCACTACCGTACCTGCCGCTGGTAAACTCCCCCCAGTACGGCGAGTGCCTTGATGACGTCATGAAAGATGGACAGGGCCGCTGACCTCAGGTCCTCTGGAGTACAGCCGCTGGTATCAGACACAACAGGGAGCAACTCGGGCAGCAGGGCGCGGGCCACCTGACAAAGGAAATGGTAAAGGAAAGGGATTTCAAGGTGGTGAAAGGGAAGGGGGAAGGGGGGGGTGAGGGCCGGAAAGGGGGGAAGGTGACGTCATTTGTGAAGCGCGGGTGGCAGGTTGAGGAGAAGATGGAGAGGGCCGCTGACCTCAGGTCCTCAGGAGTACAGCCGCTGGTATCAGACACAACAGGGAGCAACTCGGGCAGCAGGGCGCGGGCCACCTGACAAAGGAAATAGTAAAGGAAAAGGATTTCAAGGAGGTGAAAGGGAAGGGGGAAGGGGGGGGTGAGGGCCGGAAAGGGGGGAAGGTGACGTCATTTGTGAAGCGCGGGTGGCAGGTTGAGGAGAAGAGGCACAAGACGCAGGCTATAACGTTTAACTACATTTCTCTTGACTATCGGTACAGTCTTCGTTGGTATGTTACTTTTCAATTTTGAAGCTTTCATACAGAGGCGTTTGTAATTTGGATTACCCCTTAAAACGAATTGCAGTCTCAGCCCCTCCCTCTTTTTCTTCTTACAAAGGGTACCATTCACCTGGGGCAGCTGTTGCTCGTCGATATCATCACTGAGAAGGGACAGGCAGCGGATGGCACCATGGACCAACGGTGTGCTGCCAGCGCGCTGGGCATGGATAGCGCCGACCAAGTTCTCTACCAAGCCAGGCCAGCCGTCAGGGTCGGTCTTGGATATTGCAGCGATGCACATGGCCACAGCTGTTCGGACCTTAGAGCTTGCATCAGAAAGTCCTTGGGGGAGGACCGTCTGGATATGCGTCCGCTCATCGCGTGACAGCTCGGGCTCCTCATACTTGGGCGCCTCAGCAGACCAGTGCTTTTTAATGACCTGTTTCAATAGCACCGCTGCAAGCTGCCGGACTCCTACGTCGTTGTTTGTCAGCGCACCGTCGGTGGCGAGGGAGGCAAGCGTAGACGAAAATCCAGGGTGGTGGACGCCGCGCTCCAATTGCTGCTCTGCTGCCTTGCGTGTTTCTCCATCAACAGCATAAAGACAGCTTTGTAAGCAACGAATAATTTGCGCGACAGGTTCGCTTCCGCCGTCGATGGCCATTTTGAGTTACCGAAACGGGGGCCTAAAAGTTACAAAACATGCACATCTACACCACAAAGAGGGAATCCTGCAAACTGTGGTAAGATCGCAAGTGACACTGAGATTGAACACAGGCGGGGATCGCGTTGGCGGCAAAACTTCCACGTCGTACAGAAATCGTACCATTACAAAGAGCAAGCACACGATTGAACCTCTGGGTTTTTTCAATATAGGAAACATCCAATTTCATAGGCAGTGATTGGGATTGCTGCTGAGTGGAAGTCTATGGAAGTTTTCCTCTGAAAGGTCCGGGGACTTCTTGAGCAATAAGGCATTCCAACGATGAAGCCAACTTTCTCAAGCTGCTGTCCCGCTCCCAAATTCAGTGCGGTAAATCCAGTGCAGTCTCCTCAGAATCTCAGTTTTCGCCCGATCAGTTTTCGAAGTCTAACGGTTACAAGTTGCTCGTACAGCGACGGAATCGTTGACGCTCTGGCGGCAATGAGTGAATGAGTCGTGACCACTAGCTGGCTTTCGACGCTCAAACAGTGCAAAGGGAGCGCAACAGACATATGGAGAACATACGAGCACACGTCGCCTTGCTCTAAAACTCCGCCTTGGGCAGGCTACTGCTCGTTGGCTTTGCGGCCAGACATCGGCAAAAGGATTACTTTTAATTTCGGAACGGGTCCATTTCTATCATCAGATTCCGATCGTCGGGCGGCCCTTCGGGCCGCAGAGGAGCTTTCGTATGGGATGGACCATCAGTGTTTTTGTTTCCATTTTTGCCTCGTCAATTTTCCAGTCCGAACGGAGGAATAGGTTTTCAGTCGCGGGAATAAAGGTATTCCGAATCTGTAAGGCGCTGGGGGGGGGCTCCGGGCCCCCCAGACCCCCCCCCCGATGAGTTACAGTTCAGTTTGTACAAACGCCGGGTTTGGGAAATGTCGCAACACGCACACACCACAATCTCTCCAGAGAGCTGTCTCTTACCGGCTCCGGGCCAGGAAGCGGCGCGCACTTAAACGCTTTGACAGGAATTTGCACGGGCGACTGCTGTTTCCAAAGGCTTGCAGAGCCCAAGTAAACACAGACCGGTTAACCCCTACTCAAGCACTGATCAAACAAAGTTCGTTCACCGTCGTTCGTTTTGCATCACGTTGAAAATTAACAATACACGACGTTCCAGGTTGCAAAAGTCATGATGCCTAGCAGCAACGAACCCGAACCGCCAAATGCAACCTCTGCGGTTGGTTGCAGCCCCTGCTGTTGAAGCTGCACGCTAGTTTGCGGTTCATCATGCTGCTGGCGGCCTTCCACTATCTGCGGTCGGGGCGCCTTTGCGCCGCGGAGTGGAGGGGTTAGGAGTCTTAGCTGCAGCGCCGGGGTCGCTGCCACCGTCACCCTCGACATCCGTGTTTCCACCGGCCCACGATTGTCTCCATATGACGAAAACGTTGACGTTTGGCCCGCTCGCTGTTGACAACCGGAGTGGCGTCATTGTCGTCGGCTGGCTGCAGCGCTGCGTTCACATTGCCTACGGCCTCTACCCCGTCTTCATCACCGTCGCTAGTGGCTTCAGTGACGTTAGATTTCTGCTTTGGTGGCCTGCCACGCTTTGGGAGCTTCAGATCCGAATATTTCTCAGCGTTTTGGTCCGGTCAGAAACAGTCCTATTCCTCGTTGACTTTCGGGCGTGACCGTCCAAACAGTATCGATGGCATTGAAGTGCTATGATATGGTTAACATGTATGTCTCCTGTAAGATTATAGCGGCTTTGGCATGGACAGCACATTTTTGGGTGGAGGAATGAACTTGTACGGTCGGAACACAGCCTATACCTAATCTTCAAGATCACGGACAATTATTTGTGTGTGTGTGTGTGACTGTGTGACTGTGTGACTGTGTGACTGTGTGACTGTGTGACTGTGTGACTGTGTGACTGTGTGACTGTGTGACTGTGTGACTGTGTGACTGTGTGACTGTGTGACTGTGTGTGACATGGTCGTGGGTGCATTCCCCGTACCTGCTAACCACCCTAATACGAGCCGAGGGCTCAAGGGCTGCCAGATCGCCTATAAGCACCATCCTACCTCGCACTTCAGACAACGCAAGTGATGAAGGATACTAAAGACCAAAGAAACGATAGAGCTGCGGTGGGACCATATACGTTCCAGCATCCTTGCCAGACGTTCGGGTTCCCACTTCATAGCGTCCTTCATATGCTCGAAGCGTGGGAAATCCATATCAGATCCGAATCCGGAATGTATTCCGCGAAACAAAATCACTGGGGATGGCAGGCGAATGGTCCTCTATTTCTTCAAGCGGGTCCGCTTCGGGAACTCTATTTCTGTTTTCGGGAGTTTCGGTATGACCCGAAGTGCTTGCGGCTTTTGTGCGAGTATGCGTGCTCTCGGTCGCTGCACCAGGTCCGGCGACTTTATCCGTCGGGCTACGGGGGATTTGGTTGATGGGGCGTTACACTGTGGGCGGCTCGTCCCGAGAAAGGACGAGCACCGGGGGCCCTGACCGGGGGTGGAAACACAGGGCAGGGGCGGGCTCGCGGGTACGTGGCTGCGTGATGTATGCCCAATGGGGTCGATTGGTGAATGGGCTGTACGACAAGTACTTCAACGGGTCCCTTGCGAAGCTAATACAAGCCCGCCTTGGAAAGGGCAACTGATTGTGCAAGCTGTGAAAAGGCAGGGCCCAAATTTCCTGCGGCATCGGAGTTTAGAGATCCTCTGGATGGTAGGCAGTACGGTGCCTCAGGCAACGCGACAGAGGAAATGCGGCATCATACATTGTAGATAATGCAATGCGCGGACATGTTCGCATATAACCTGTCAGAAAATTAGTTCCTCCATCTTGCTTTCATCACGGCGGGTTAAATGCCATGACAGATAAAGTCGCCCAAGCCACAATATAAACCAACGTTTTCCGTCTAACATATAGTTATATATCTTTAGTATGCCGTGAACTCCGGGATAAGCTGCCTAGCCGCCGAGAGTAGACCATGTTTGCGTGTTCTTTGTGCGGTTTTGAGGCGCCTTTCAAGCACTTTGGGGCCAGCCTTCCGAGCGGTCCGGAGGTATCGGGCTCGGCATCAACGGGCGCTTGTAGAGTTGCGTGAGTCAAGGTCGCTGGGTCATACGTTTCCTTTGATTGTGCTTTCGGCTCCAAACGATTTCGTCCACCTGTTGTTTGAGTGTGCAGCTTTCTTGAGGAAGGATGGCTAGCCGTGGACCCTTTTTCCATCCAAGCTCGGCCTGTTTTCCTTGGCGCACCGTGTAGTGCCTGTGGGCGGGCGGTTTGCACAGCGGAAGCATGCTCGGTTTTCTACTCCAAGCGCTTCTGCAGGCCTTGTGCTAGGAGCAACGCGGAAGCTTTTCCAGCTGCAGTCCGTAAGGCAGCTCCTAACGTCTTTGCTGCTAGCCAGCAGCAGTAATAGCATTCGTCACAGAGCACGTATGAAAGCCCCTGTCTAAGGCGACTTTCGTCAGGCGAATAAAACTCGATCTCCTGCCTCTGTCTCTGCTTTAAATGTGGGCTAATGGTTCCTTTGCACTTCATGTACTAGTATGCCAAGCGCTTGCCAAGAGCCAACGCCAACTTTCTGTGAGCAAGGCTGCTGGCCAGCTATGGACAAAAGGCTGTGCACTATGTAGGATTTCCGAGAGTATGGACACTTTAGAAACTTTTTCCGTGGAAAACGACGAGAGGGGAAAAGCAGGCGCTTAGAGAGCAGTGAGCATGCCACCCGGGACATGACCACCGGCATATCCTTTCCGGCCAACTAACGCTAGCATAGGAAGCATGTTGGTAAAAGAGCTACATCGGTGAACATGGTATACACGGCCAAGATGTCCGAACGCACATAAACTGCACAGGTCAAACATAGGATTGAAGACAGCCACAGAAACCAAATCCAAAAATCTGAAGTGACAGACTGCGGACACTCAACCCGTCGTCACCTATCCGACCGCTGAACCAGCGGGCCCCCTCACAAGTGACCGGTTGTGCACATACATTGCGTGCAGGGTTGCCTCAGTCCGCAGCTTGCACTCAAGATATGTCGCGGGCTTCCGTGGAAGAGCGCATGCGTGCAGCTCGCTTAGCCTGGCGACGCCCGCATAGATTGCGTCAACACATGCGCTTAGGCATAGTTCGAAGTTTTATATTATAACCTGGATGTGGATTGTTTACGGCAGACGTAAAGCCATTGCAAAACCACGTTTGTAACTGAGGGTGCATTTCCAGTGCGGATGAAGGCCAGGAATTAGCGTGAATCCCTGTGCAGAGGAAACCCCCCGGGATCAAGCAGGATTAGCCGGGGATATAGGAATTCCTCAGGACACCGTGTTCTCTATACTCAGAGGATTAGCAGGAGTTAGCAAGAGATTAGGAAAGAACATGATGTCCATGTATTTGCCTGGCAACTTGTGACAAAAAAGTTATTACCTGGCTCCACCCATGTAGTAACTTTGCGTAGCAGGATTAGCATTCCTGGCGTCAGGCATCAGGGCGATGGATTCAGGGCGATGGCTTGGATCAACTTCGCCTCGCACTTTTTGATACAGGGCAATCGATGACGTACAACAAAGGTCACACTTGGCAAGAGAACATAAGCCTGCCAACTGGGATTGACCCAGAATTCCTTTAATGGACAAAAGGAATAGAATTCTGTGGCGATGAGCTTAAACAATCAGTGTTGGAAAATATAGGTGGCGCCGTAATGCTCACCCTCTGATCCACATAAAGCCTTGAGGAATCATAAGTCATGATCGGATGACGGCTCAGTAGCTTAAGTACTCAGTCTATTGCTGACACAGCAAGCCGACGTATGGATAGGGGGGAAGCCCTTGACCAAATCTCTTGCCGTTTCGGACACAGGGACCATATAGGCTTAAAGTCAATGAAAAATTCTGGAACAAACCGGTGGTTTTCTTGTTGTAATCGAGGGCTGCGGCTTTACAGAAAGAGGCGGTAATTGGAATGGAGTGGGAGTCGTACACGTCGGAGCCCTTGCACGTGCCGCGGCACAAGGAATGCGAATCGGCAAATCGGCAAATCGGTTTCTACGGCTGCGGGAGGGCATATTTTCGGTCAATAAACCTATAAAATTTAGCTTTGTTACGTTCGTTGTATGAACGTTGGTAAGATATTGTACGGCTTTGGTGGTGTTTGGTGGAGGTCCGCGGTGTGGGGGGCTCGCAGGTGTGGGGGGCTGACCAGGTTCTCGCGATGTTGGAAAAGGGCTATCCGGCTAACGAGGCACCGCGGTCATGCTATTTCGATGTGGCTATACGAGACCGCATGGTCAAGCTCCAAATCTTTTTCATGAAACAATTGGTAGGGACTTCTGTACCACCCCTCCAGCTTCTGTTTATGGAGCTAGGTCAGATGCCGCTACAGCTGCACTGGGCTGAATCCGTATTTCGCTTCTGGAATAGTTTGGTGGAGGACACTAGTAGCGTATACCACAGCGCCTTTCGTCAGGAAATTCGTTTGGCGTTAGTAACGAATTTACAGTTTGATGGTTGGGGATCCAAAGTCATTCGTATCCTTAACCACTTAGAGCATGACTGGGGTGAGGAGGCAGTCGGGGGAGGCATTGATATGAGGGTTAGACGTTACTCGGCTTGCAAGCTTGATGTCGAGGCGCTGATGGACACCCTTAGGACACGTGTCAACGACGACTGGGCAAATGATAGGCTGGCTGTGGACCCTAGAGTTTTCGTTACGGACGGTAGGAAGCCCGGCGTGAAGATGGGCCGCCATAAGCACTGGATGGGGCCACCGAAGCCGTACGCGGGTTATATCCCCCCGGCGCATCATCGTGCCCTAATCCGCTTTCGTTTGTGTGTCTCTGACCTGGCGGTTAACAGTGAGAGCAACAGGGCTAGGGAGCACCGCGTGTGCGCTGTGTGTCGTAGTAATGGTGCTATTGAGGATGAGAAACACTTCTTGGTAGAATGTCCGGCGATTATGTCTGCGCGTCAGAAGCTCTGGGACCTCGGTGTGCCCGTCAATGCGAACATCCGTGATATCATGCAAGTGGATGATCAGCGTGGTCTTGCAAAGGCTATTTTTGAGATGTTTCGCTCCCGGCATGAGCACCTAACTACCTAACTTTCTCGGCGGTAACAGGCAATTGTGTTTCAGAGTCAAATTGACGCTGTTCTTTCCCATAAACACCCGTTTTCTTCTTGCGTAAAACTTTCCTTTTTTGTTGTTTGTTGTGTTTGCTTCGTTTACTTTTTTCTCTTTTTTCTTTTCCCTATCGACGGCGCTGTCAAAGCGGTTCATGAGCCTCCGGGTTCGTTTGGGCCGTACGAGCTCGCTGAAGCTTGTAACATCCATCCATCCATCCAGTCCATTTCCTGGCCATCGGGACGAGACCAACAGACTGGATCACCAGTTCAGCAGACCATCCTCGTTTGCCGCGGAGCTTTGCTCGTGGGTCCGTGATAGTGTCCTTGGCAGTTTACGTACTGTTTTACGGCAGGTCGCGTGGGCTGGTGAGAATTTTAACAATTAAGGGATAGGACTTATAATCCTCATCATCGAAATATTCGCTTCAGGGCCGGGAGTAAATGATTATGCCATGCATAGTGAGTTCTGGTAGAGATGCATGTTACCAGAGAGCCAACCAACCAACCAACCAACAAACGAACGCAGTCGAACGCCGAATCGGAGTTCCCCACATGCAATTGTCTTCTGCAATCACACATAATGAATATTTAATGCAACGTGTATTCGCGTCTTGTCATGAATGCATCAAAAGACGCACGCGATACGTCATATCTGTAAAAAGACGCACGCTACTGGGAGAATGCCGCACATAGGGAGCTTTCGATATACACGTCCGCGTCGTTGAAAATGTGACGCTGGCATTAAGCCTGTATGGTCCCTGTGTCCGAAACGGCAAGAGATTGGGTCAAAGGCTTCCCGCGTATCCATACTTCGGCTTGCTGTGTCAGCAATAGACTGAGTACTTAAGCTACTGAGACGTCATCCGATCATGACTTATGATTCCTCAAGGCTTTATGTAAATCAGAGGGTGAGCATTGCGATGCCACCTATATTTTCCAACACTTAATGTCCTAGCTTATCGCCACAGCATTCTATTACTTTTATCCATTAAAGGAATTCTGGGTCATTCCCAGCTGGCAGGTTTGTGTTCTCTTGCCAAGTGTGACCTTTGTTGTACGTCATCGATCGCCCTGTATCAAAAAGTGCGAGGCGAAGCGGATCTAGGCCATCGCCCTGCATCGCAAGCCACATCTAACTTTAATTTCTAGGTAATTCCATATGTATGACCTCAAGTAATTAATATCTGTTTTAGTTTGCCCAAAAGGTGCTGTTTTAATGTCAGGCCTATCAAGACCCGCGAGCGGGGTCTCCGCTTTGCGCGGAGTTGCCGGGAATAACTTGGTGCGCAGTCAAACTATGCCTACGCAACCTAAACCTGAAATAGAGCTGTCGGTTAGGAGGGTTGTAGGCCCTAGTGAGCACGGCTTTGGCGGCGCCATGGCTGCGCGGGGTCACGTCGGCACACTGGAGAACGGGTTGCCATGGGTCGAGGATGACATTATCAAGGAGGAGCTGGCGAATCATATCGAGCTGGCTCGTCGCAAGAATGGAGCGCACGCCTCCCCATACCCATACGTGGATATGGGCGGCCAGGGGTTCCCGGACACACGCCGGCCCTTTACTGGCATGGCGGTAGGTCTGGTCGGGCTATGTAATGACATAGACAGCATTGGCGGTCACCAATATGCTTAAATGTGTGTTTTGGTACAGACGCGGCAAACCCTGCAGCAACGGTCTGGCGGGTTCTCCAACGGGTACCTCAACCCTTATGGGTATGGTGTCCCGGGGACCTGGAGCGATAACGCCTCTGTGCTGCACATGCTTGCTACGGAGGTGCATCAGGTGACACACTGCCCACATTAGGTGTTTGTTCCTTATTTGGCTGTGCGTAGGGGTCTATAAGCGCTGGTGGTGGTTCGGTTGATCAGTAGGTTTTTATTACCCGCAATATGCAACATGTGTTACCACCACCTGGTGTCGTGCACACACACTTTGTGTCACCACTGTTGCCTCGAGACCATTCACACTTTCCACTTACCCTCTGTCCTCATTCGCCCCATTCGCCTCTTTTCACTGTCTTTTCTGCTGGCCCCAGGGAGCGCAACACCGTGTTATTTTTGAAGACGGTGGTGATTATGGTGACAAGCCGGATGAGGCCTCTGATGATGGCGATGTGGCATCAGAAGACGAGGACGTGATGCCCCAGAAGGGCAAGGGTGGCAAGGCAACCACGGGGAAGGACAAGGGGTCCAAGCGCAAGCTGGCAGAGGTGGATGAGACCATGGGGGAGCTCACAACCAAGAAGCGGCGGCCAAACTGGACGGTCAACGAAAATTTGTTGCTGGTGCACGGCAAGAAGGAGTCTGAGACATGGTGCAAGGGAGTCGCCAGGGACAAGAAGCCGAGCAAGGATCAGCAAGTCGCTAAGCTTCACTCAATCGCAGGTAAGCTTATCAGGTATCACCTTCACTGGGGATGAGCTTACATGATTGATGTTTCACTTTTGCTGTGTGCCGGCTTCCCATTTGGGTTTATAACCTTAGGGTTCACCCCTGTCTTATCTGTAACCCTAGCTTAAGGTTTGAGGGGGTGGGTGCTTTTCCTGCAGGTGACCTGACCACTGGGCGGCTTCGCCAGTCAATGGGGAAGGCGGGTGGGACAGGCATGGAGTTTGTCACGGCGCTGCAGGACATGTCATCTAAAAAGGACAGGGCCTTGCAGAACATGGGCATGAGCCTTTCTGACTTGGCATCAGGGATGCGGTCCATGTCTGAATCCCTGTCACGCATTGCCAGCGTTTTTGGGCAAGAAAACCAGCAGGAAGCCTCGCTTGCAGCTGCCAAGGCTCGCGACCAGCAGGTGGCGACCTACAAGCAGGAAATCGAGATAATAAAGTTGCTGAAGGAGACAGGTGCTATCTCGGAGGTGGAGGCTCAGCAGCAGCTCCGCAAGATTGCAACAGCTTTGCTGCAGCCTGAGCCAGTCATGGTGCCGGTGGCTGAGGGGGCGGGTGTTTTGCATGACAAGGAGGTTCCAGGCCAAACAGTGGCGGGTGGGCAATGACGGGTGCGCAATGCCGGTGGTGCTAAGTGCTGCTAAGGAGGACTGACGGGATTGAAGTGTTGCACCGGTACAGGGCTTAGGGGGGTTTGAGACTGCAGGCAGGGTGATGGGGCTCATTTTGGGTGAGAGGCGCATGACTGAAGAAGGTGCATGGCTGGAGGAGATGATGTAAGAGTGAAGATGGGGTGGAGGGTTGTTGAACCAGTGTCTGGGTTCCATCGATACTTCCAACATATCCCACCATACCCAGCGCAGTAAATTCAGATTGAATAGAGGCGAAGGTAGTTGCCCTAGGAAACTTCTCCAGAACTGGTGAAGCACCTTACAAGCAGTTCCTGCAAACACTCCTGCAGACATATGTTCGATGGTAGGGAAACTCACTTGGTTTGCGAGTTTGCACAGCGCAATGGCAACTTTGCGCTCGGGCGTAAGGGACTCGTCCCTGAAGTTGGATGCCGTGCCAGCAAGGCGGCTCCCTTATTCATTCTGTGTAAGACAGCTATTCGCTTAAAAATTGCTCCAACTGTTGGGGCAGTCGTCCATCCGCCCCCGCAAAAGCATATATTTCTTTAATACCTTGGGGCTCGTCAAATATTACGTAAATAATATGCTCAGAAGGAGCTTAAAAGACGAGCGTGTCAGCCGGAAGTTATCCTCAAACTTGTTATCAGGCCAGTAATCAACCATGAAGTTGTTCCACAGGTCCATAGGGCGCGGCTGCACGTAAAATGGCGATGCGATCAGGCGGTAACTGTGTGGGTTGATAAAATTCCGGGCATATATGGCTACCCTATAGCTCATATGTGCAAGAATACAAGCATATATCCCCGCCTGGGCCATGAGAGTGCGCTTCCTGTCCATAATTAATACTCATACAATGCCTAATGCCCAAACTAATACAGAACTTCAGAATGTTACCTTAAAATTGCATAAAATGCAATCCACCGCCCATTGTACAGCCTTAATCCCCGCGCTAATCCCAGGAATAGCCGGGGGTTAGCCACGGATTAGCCACGGATTGGCGGGACCTTAATCGCTGGCCTTAATCCGCACTGGAAATACACCTTGAAATGCACATGCAATTTTGGTGAACCTTAGTACGAATGTACGGCTCCCCGGAGAAAAGCCCTAAATCCATTGGCATTTCTAAAAGTGCTGGTTAAGGTTTCATAGACAACAATTTTGACGCACGCTACTTGACAAACGTTCTTCCAGAGTATTGACGGCCCACAGGAGCCATCCAATCACGCCATCTCGGAAGTCTTTCTTGATTGAAATGACGCAGACTGCGGGTTGTGTTGCGGCTACGGCCGGGGTGGCGTTTACGACGATCCTTCTGCATCATGCTTCAGACATGAGCGCAGCACCAGAGGCTGCCACCAAATTCTTTCAGCACTTCATGGCGAAAAACCGCCCGGCCATTGTTGCGGTTGCTGCTGTCGGAACCATCGCCTCCTTAGTCCAGGTGTGTTAAACTAAGTTATCTTGCCGTGAGGTGGTGCTTTTATGGCAATCTTTGTGTTCCGACCAGAGGTCGGCAAACCCTGAATAACTGTCGCTGGTACTTGTGCCAGGGTCGAATAACTGTATGGAAATGTTTTTTGGTAAAAGCCGAGGAAAGAGTGTCTGCGGGCCGGTGTACCAAACTTACTACGTTACACCATCGCTGTTAAAGCCACAGTTGTCTTGTTGCGCTCAATTCCGGAGAAGTTTGTTCATCAAGTCCGTCACTTAACTGCTCAAATGTAAAATGGAAGGTTTGGTAACCTAATGATGAAGTTCATAGCTTCAAAACTGCGCAAACCTGCGGGGAATTTCTGCACCCTGCCGTACGGCTGCCGTACCGGCGATGAAGAATAGAATTGAATTTCTGCAACGGGTACAACGGAAGGACCCGCTGTACCAGCGCCATTTGCCGACCCCTGGTTCCGACTCCGAAGTCATCGAGGTCGGAGACGACCCAACTTGGGAAGCCACCTGGCGCTTAAAATTAAAAGGAGAATAGGACACGTCTTGCATCTTCGTGTGCGTTTTTACCTCGACGTGTGTACGGCGTCGGGTCGTTAGCTTGTACAAACCAACGTGCTTATGCCAATTAATGAAATCTCCTTAGCGGTTTGCATTAGGCCACTTACAAGCCCTATTTCCCTTCCTTTGCCTCTTTAACTCCGCAGAGTGCCAAAACCCCGCATAGCAGGGGCCTATGGCTCCTTTCCGGTGCTTTGCTCGCAAGTTTCTTCCCCTACTCCGGTCTGGTTGTCAAACCTCATGCTGAAGTTGTTCTCAAGGCGGCCGAGGATGGCCAACCAGCAGACACAAAGGCGCTGAAGGCGATTTCCATGCATACGCTCATCCGCGCGGCGATTGTTGGCACTGCAACAGGTATCGCCGTTTACGCCTTGAGTCACAAGGGCAAGTAATGGATGGGGGCGTGCGATTTAATAATGTAATCGCCTCCACTTTCCAATCCCTGCGTGATGTATAGCGTGCGGCTTGGCGTTGTCAGACGACGTCTGAGATCCGCTGTACAGTATGGTCAACGGACTGGTTGGCGCACCAACCGTCTGCTTGCATGAAAGCGTGTCGTCGTTGTTTTTAGACATCATGCACCTCATCGTCACTTTGCGCAAAAAGCAACGCACCGATGAAGGCCATGATCTAGGTCTATCGAGCGGAATGGGAATGTAAAACAGACTTTGGGTTCTGTCCAGACTTTGTGTGCGAAGCGGATGGACTTTGGATGGAGCCGATGGCCCGTTTTACCTGGTTTTATGTGGTTACACTTCAGTATACTTAACATTATTTAGGGGCTGCAATGCCCAAACCTGAGAACTTTTGATTCAAGCTTTTCCGACCTTTTAAATCTTTTGATTCCAAGCGTGCTTAGGGCCTGTTCAGGCCCCGATGGGCCCTGGCAAGTTCTCTTGCATCCACACAGCCGCCGCCGTCTCCTGAAGGGCATCCCCAACACCTGCTTGGAGTTGGGAGTATCATTCCGTAAGGAGAGACACTTGGAGAGGACCCAGAGTTCTTAGCGGAACGGTAAAGAGGGAAACACAGCGGCCGCAAGGTTAATAAGCCAACGGGACTCAGCAACTCAGCTTTTGAGACCATCCGTATCCATCCCCGTCAACGAAACGAATACCGCAGGTCCTTTCTCCTTCCCCCCCACTCCCCTCCGCCATTCCACTGAAAAGCAACTGAGTCAAACAACTATAGCCTAATCTACCGAATGACAAGGAAGGTTTGCACCAGTTGACCGCAGGTGACGGCGTGAGAGAGACGTACAACTCCAACGAGAATCACTCACAAATACACCACCGAGCTGCTGCAAGCTGAATCTTGCTGGATGCGAGAAACCGAACTGTACTATTGCGCACGACCTACACATCTGCCATTATCGCAGTAAAATTTGCTCGCGCCCACACGTGGCCATCATCAGTTCCGTACTCACGGTAGGCAGGTTGCGAAGGTTTCGCTGCGGGAGACACCGCGCACTTTATAACTGGAGTCGCGCTCTCGGCGCCTTCACAAACCGCGCTTTCTAGAACACACGCACAATTCCTTGAGAAACAGGACACGTAACCGCTAGGACCCTCTGCTAATAATGCCACACAGAGACTTGCTTTCCAAGCAAGGAAATAGGAACGCAGTGGCGTGGCAGCAAAACACTAATATCACCCGAAACCCGCCAGGCAGGAGAACTGCCAGCTACCATAAAACCCCTTCACTGCGGCGATCCGCTCACTAACATCGAAAGGTGTACAGAGCCGGCAGCGGCTCAGATAAAGGCACCAATTTCGGAGACGGATTCAATTGATGGTTGTATCAAACGTGTACTACGGTACTAGCACATAACACAAACAGTCGCAATTCAGTTCAGCGTGTCCAAGTGTTATTCATTGAACCAGTAGAGCATTCCGACGAGGGAAGGAAACCGTCTGGCGCTAAAACAAAGTTATATAAACTACAGCAGGCACTAAGCAACGATGTCCAGAGCGCCCTACTAACGTTCAATGAGGGGTGGCGAATAGTTGGCGAACAGTTTATATGCTCATAATGACGTGTGTACTTATGTCTTTACAACAGACCGTGAGTCCAAATAAGGATGGTTGCCAAGCAAACACTTTAATACTCCTCCACATGATGCCGTACACCGTGCGTACGCATGCGGCGGCATCACGGCACATCGTCGTTGGCCGCGCCAGTAGTGGTAACGATGCTGCTTCGCACCGCGAGCAACGCCGACACAGACGCCGTTTTAGACTTTTCAATATTGCCCAGAAATTAAAAAAATTCGCCTTCGCCAAGAACGTTTTGACTCCAAAACGTCCCGTCCAGAATATGGCGCCTGATTATGATCAAAGAATTTTCGGAGGAAGATACCTTAAAACGGTATCCAAGCCGCACAGCTCCAACAATCCTTGCAGACACCTCGGGGGCTTTTTTTTACAAGAAGTAGGGATGAATGGCCGCCGGGAAATTGAGCATCAGCACCTCGCGTACGTTCCCGGAGGCCTTATCCCCCACCTGTGGGCAACAGACAAGTGAAGACATATGTCAGCTCGAGGAGTCAACGGCCCCCCACGGGCCGAAGAACCGGTTAGCTGGCTAGCTACCTAGCTATTATCATAGCTGGATGACTGCCTGGTGGATCCTATACTGCTACCGCTGTTGCTACTGCACTTCGTTGGGGTGCGGGAGCTTTCGTCGTTTTCGTCGTCGCCGTGCCCTCCAGCGTCACGTCCTGCCAACTCACCTGCGCCACAATGCTCGCCTCGAAGATTCCGTCGCGCTCCACCAGGCTGCGAAAGCTCTTCATGCCGCCCCCCACACCGAAGTAGTACCGCTTAGAGGCGATCAGCGCCACTCCGTGAGGCGGCTGCAGCAACTGCGGAGCACACACGGAGATACACACACACACATGGACAGACAGACAGACAGACAGACGTCCGCGGGAGGGAGCTTAGGCGGTCTTTCCGTTTGGGCTGGGCAGCAGCCCCTGGCCAGTGTCAGGCCCGGTCAGATACCGACAGACAGACAGACAGAGCAGACACACAATCAGACACATACAGGCCAGCATCGCGGAGTAAGAAGCAGCAAGGTTATACATACAAGGGAAGCCAGATGGACACCTCAACATTACGCGCACAATGCACAGCGGCCATCATACCCCGAGCCTTGATACAACCACCACCAGGGAGCACCACCACGTTTCGGCACGCACGTGCCACGGTCATTACTTCCATCCCGCGGCTCAGGTCATCAAAACGCATACATACATACATATACACACATACATACACACATACATATACACACATACATACACACATACATATACACACATACATACACACATACATACACACATACATACATACACACATACATACACACATACATACTTGTTTAATGCACTCCAGCAACCGTTCCTGTGCGGGTACACTGTAGATGGTTTCGGAGGACAGGATCAGGTCGTAGTGGCCGCCGTAGCCCTTACTGGTCAGGTGCTCGCCCACAAGCCGCCAGTCACCGGAGAAGTACCTCGCAGAGGGCCGGGATCGCGACCTGGGCAGCCGCTCCATGTTGGAGATGACGTTGGGGATGGTAAGCCGCCGTATAACCTCCTGGTTGTAGTCCTGTACGGCAAATGTACGGGATAAGGAACAGAACATGCCGAGGTGTGGCGTGCCAGGAAACGCCGGGCGCGGATTTAATTCTAACAAGAGTCCTGTCCTGCCTTGTCCTGTGTCGTGTTTCAAAGGCTCGCTGTACGGTCTGGCTATCCGGCTATCCCTAACGGCTCCCAATGGCCCAAGTGGGTTCTTCAACAGCAGTTAAACGGAAAGGATAACTACTGCGTCATTGGGGAAAGACGAACCACGTGAACGAGTGAAGCTGCTGCCAGGGCAAGAGTGTACCAGACGTATAGACGTATGGGTCATTGGAGGTGATGGATTGCTGAATTTGCTGCTGCGCATCCGCAGGCTTCACACCCTGCAGCTTTCACACCCAGCAAGGACACCATGCGTGGGTCTGTTAATGCGCGGGAGCATGTCGCCTCACAGCTCACTCGCCTGGAAGTGCACTTCCGCGCCGCACATGAGCGCTAGGACGCCGGGCAGTCCGTGTCCACAGCCGAGCTCCAACACCTTTTTGCCCTGTGTGATATACGGCCGTGGTGGGCGGGCCAGGGAGGATTAAGGCCAGGAACGAAGCAGGAAAGGAATAAGAACGAAGAGGCAAGAAACGATTATGATACGGTAGTATTGGGAAGTCGATACGACATTGATGCGAAGTACGTATGAAGTACGAATGTGATACGATGGTACGGGCTAAGGGATACGGACGTGGCCGGCTACGAGAGGCATTTAGGCGAGTGAGGTGAGAGAAAGGTGGAGAGGAGGGGAGAGGTGAGGAGGGGGGGAGAGAGAGGGGAGAGAGAGGTGGAGAGAGAGGGAACGAGGTGGAGAGAGAGGGCGAGAGCAAAATCGAGAGAGGAAAGAGGAAAGGACACGTAGGCCCCAACCTTCAACCCAAACCCGCTGCAGGCCCCAGTGCTACCTGGAGGATCCCTCCTCTCGGGCCTGGCTCCGTCTCGCCAGCTCGGCTGCCCCCCCTCCCCACCTACTGATGCCCCTCCCGCACCTGCAACTCCGAGGCGAGCTCCGGATCCGAGAGTACTCGCTCCGGAACCACGTGGTATCGTTGGAGCAGCATCTTGCAGAGATCTAGGGAGCACTCCCAGAGCTTGAAGCCGCCTGGCCGGCAAAGCACACACACAGACATACACAGGCCGAGACACACGCACCGTGAAGGAAGACAAGATTTAGAAACATGGACGACGTTAGAAACATGGATGACGGGATATCGGCCGTGTGACCGCTTGGGTAAGGTCTGCCGTTCCTTACAATGGGTGTAAGGGGCACGGTTCACGAGCTCAGTCCGCGCAGCTACAACTAACCCTGGAGCGCAGGAGCCCCGGGACTGTGTTTCAGCGACCCAAATCGAAGACATCATTTTTCCCCTTTGCAACAAATCTTTGCTCGCTTTTTGCTTTAAAATTTTCTATTGTGTTGGGTTTCTCGTACCATCATCCGAACAAGCAGTAAAGAAGTGAGAAGAAGATGTGGGTGGGTTATCCCCAGACTGGCCGAGAACCTTCAGGGGTCTGCGACGCGACGCATACCTAACATAACTAACCCTAACCAACCTTCATACTTTCCGGGCACCAGGTCGCTGGACGCTACTCGCTTATCGGAAAGGATGTTGGCAGCTTCGTCACTGCTGATGATGCCCTGATGCGTTGCGGCCAACACATGATGAAAATGCGGAGTGGGAAATTTAAGCTTTAGTGCGTTTGTGTAAGTATGCAAGTAGGAGAAATGGCGTGCGGCGTTCAGTATGTTAAGACTCGAGTAGACGCATTATAAGGTAATTTAATTCCTGACACAGCATGCCCATGCCATGCACATACCGTGTGCCGTACCAATCTTACTGCCTGTTGATGGGCCGGCGCCGATAACGGGGCTTTATATGAAAATCTTTAGCAAGCTGAAACCCAGTTCCCGCTAATGGACATCGTTGGATTATCAAGTCAAGCAAAGCATCAGCTGTCGGGTCTGGCCAAGTTTTAGACTGTTAGCTGTTAATTACCCTTGGATACAGGATAGCCTCCCCTTGATTTTATAGACCACAAACGTAGACGATGCGAAGATACCCATGCGGAATGACTATAAGCATGCGGACAACGTTGGATGCGCTGGCAAGGGTTGGGGTTCGAATAGGGGGTTCACAAGCGCACCTTCACAAGCGCCAAGCTCTCCGCAATGGATACCTCCTCCGTGTAGAATGCGACGCCCTAACAAGCGGTTGCTGCAGCTTGGTGTCAAGCCAAACGAGCTAGATTCCCAACGATCTAAGGCTCATGGCTTTCATCTCACCGGCTGCGGTCGATGAACAAGCTCAGCTGCTGGTTCATTATATTCAGGAGCTCCCTGCTCCTCCTGTATTTTGTCTGACTCTTCCTTTCCAAAGTTGAACCGAAAAGCAGGTTCGGCGCCGTCTGCCATGGTTAATGAGGTATAGCCTGAACTATGGTTAACGTGTTACAACCTGAAATTTATTATTGCTCCTCGTTTATTTTTCAGTCATAGCTGTCGTGGTACTGAGTCGTGGGGAGTTCGGCGCAACCCTCGGCAAACCCGTGTAGTTATAGGCGGAATAAGTTTTTAGGCCATGTCGGGTGCTACAATCTTTAGAACAACAAGGCATGTCGAACTACTAGCCTCGATTTAGGCATGCGATTGTGGCAATGGAATTAAAAGCGACGCCGTACACCAAAAATGAAAAAACAACCTCCTCACGACGTTATACTTATGAGTACTGTTCCACTTGAATCGCGGCGCAGGTACCTTGAGGCTTCGCTAGACATCAGGAGAACCTATGCATGTTGCATCTCGTATTGTCATCTCAAAAGCCTTCGCGATATTAAAACTTGTCGCGACGTCATTTTGTGTGCATCCAATGATATATCGACCTGGCCTAAGATCATTTGGTCAGGCCCGCTTCAGTCTTCCGAAATTTCCACACCACCCGTACCTTGCTTCAACTTGTGGCAGCTTTGACACTTTTGGACAACTCTATAGGAACTCAGTTTGGCATTCCAATCATACGTGCCCTGGTGCGCCCAACTTGAAAGTTTTACGTTCCACTCCTCCCACAACCACAACCTCAACCACCGCCACTATGTCAACGACGGCTTCAGGCGCAGCTTCCGACTCAATTACATACCTGTAAGTCTACATCGGAGTCGATACACATGACAGTTAAACATATAGCCATCAGCAATGCAACCCACATAGCGCGTCGTAAGCGCCGGAACCATCTAATGAGCTTTCGCTTGCCTGCAGCGTGGAAAGACTCTTGTGTACACCCCGTCCTAAGACAATTTTTCTCGAACAAAATCCTTTCTGAACCTGTGCGCAACCATTTGCTGGGCTGGTTCCCTTTTGCTTGCGCATTTCCCGCGGATGCAACTCACTTCTCAAGCTTTGCTGCGCCACGACGAGACGGCTAAACCCCTTCTTCTGTTCCTCTGTATGTTGCGTCCTGTAGGAGCCAGGCTGATGCCATCGCCGTTGACCAAGAGCTCATGGGCCCGGTGCTGGGCTTCAGCGTTGACCAGCTGATGGAGCTTGCCGGTCTGAGCGTGGCCTGCGCCCTGGCCGCAGAGTACCCCCCTGACGTTTCGGTGGGTGACCCCGGTGCGTCCTCTTGGAGAATACTGCCGGGGAATGGCGCAGCTTTGAATGCTGGGTAAACGATTTTTAGTTACGTCGACTTTCGCCAACGGTTCTTCCATGGCCCTCACGGCTTTGACGGAACCCCCGCACTTATGCGGGCACTGTAACTGTATAAACTGCAACTGTTTGAACTATAACTGTAGAAAATGTAACTGTAGAAAATGTAACTGGTTGTGGCTAGTGCTGCTGTTGTTGCTAATGATGATGATTTTCCAGCAGATGCTGCAACTGCCGTCCGTGCCGCCGGGGTTCAGCACCAGTAACACAGCAGTAACACAACCCCGCACGACCGCCGGCCGCTGCTGTCTGTAACCCGACTTCGGACTGTAACCTGACTGCGCTGTTTGAGCCCCCCTTGGCTGCTACCTTGTTGTCCCGCGTTTCCTTTCTTTCGCCCGTTTTGAACTCTTGCGAATTTACGCATATGCCATCCGCGGCCAGACGACGGCATCAGGACCGGATGACGGGTCCGGCGGCGGCGGAAGCGGAGGCGGCAGCCAGCAGTTGCGGCGGCGGCGCCGAGTGCTGGTTCTAGCCGGTCCTGGTAACAACGGCGGAGACGGTCTTGTAGCGGCGAGACACCTTCACCATTTCGGATACGACGTCCAGGTCATTGGCTTCGGCATAATTATACTAATAATAGTAGTTACTTTTTTATTGTTTTTATTTATTATTATTATTGATTTTTGTTTAACTATTTATCCTTACTGTTGTTGTGTACTTTCCCTTTTTTATTAATATATATGCACTAGTACTCGACGGCGATGTATGCAGTCATGAATTGACCCGATGTGTCCTGCTGTGTCGCGGCAAAAGAGCGAACAGAGTGCAGGAGTTCAACTCTCTCGTCATGCCACACTTATACGACGTATTGGGCGTCAGTCGGCCGTGGGGCAAAGATTCGGCGGAGCGGGAGCTTCGTGTCCACACACGCATTGTATTGTTATTGATCACCCAAGCAGGGATGGCATCTTTGCATCATGTATGTCTTTGGCCATGAATTCAGATCCAAAGGATATTCATCCGTCCCTCGGGAATCGGTTTAAAATTCCAAAACTCCAAACCTCCAGGTGTGCTACCCCAAGCCAACCGATAAACCGTTGTACAACGGCCTCATAAAGCAAATCAGGTGAGGGCAGACTGTGTGTTACTATTAATTGTGGCTTGTCGTCCGCAACGCCGTACGGTTTTACTGTCGTATAAAAGCTCGTATGTGTATAAGCTCAACGCGGTTGCTGTGAACACTTACAAGCTAGGAGCATTCCAACAGTGGTTTGTTGACGACGACGTGCCCTTCGTGGACCACCAAACAGATAGTCGCCCTGCTCATCGCTCACTTCCAACCTGAATTCTCTCCGTCTGTATCCGCACTACTCCGTTTCCGCTCTTACCCAACAAATTTCCGGTTCGACCAAGTCCATGCAAGCATTCCTGCCGCAGTGTCAAATTGTTGTAGTGCTAAACTATCTCTCGACAACATTTTTCCGTGGCATTTGTTGTCCGAGGACTGTTTTGCTCCCACCTGGGTTCGATCCCGAGACCCGATCCTTTTTCATACATTTTCCTGCGCCTCGTTCACTCGCCTGCAGCTCTCTGGGCATCCCTCTGGTGAGCTGGACGGACCTGCAGGCTGCTGGGCCGCTGTCTAGCCTGGCAGATGTGGTGGTGGATGCACTGTTCGGCTTCAGCTTCTCGGGGCAGCCGCGGCCGCCTTTTGATGCGATACTCCAGGTATGATTCGGACAACGGGGGGCGACGGGGACGTGGCGGTAGCACGACAGCGATGATAGCTGCCGCCCGCGGCATCGCGGCCAGGAGCAGCCGCAGTACCATAGTTGCGGTAAGCGGCGGCACCTGCGGTATAGTACGACAGGCCATGGGGTGCCGAATGGATCAGAAAGGGGCAGAGCTTCTTCGGGTAAGGGCGCAGAGAGCTCCCCGTCTGG